TTGCTTTGCCGCCTAGGTCTAGGGAGAATTTATAACACGGAGCTTTTTTTTCTTTCTTTCTTTCTTTTTCTTTTATCCCCAGCAGTCGCTGATTTAAATTGGGAATAAATATTGCGTTTAATTAAGGCGTGAAAGGGGTTCCATGGAGAATTGTTTCTGGTTAACGATGGTGTTTGATAATGATCGTTCGACATCGTGTATGTATATGTATATATATATGTGAAGAATTGGAAAATTTTGTTTAAAAAAGTAATGGATTTAAAATTCAATATTCAAAAGCCAAAAGAGTGTATTATTATTATTATTTCGCTACTGCGTTCCCGATGGTAAAAAAAACTTTAATTTCGCCAGCAACGAAAAGTATGATTTTTCAATTCCATTCTTGATTCAAACTTCAAATAAATAGATTCCGCGATTTATAAAATCTTCTATCTATCTACACCAACCAAACTTTCAACTTTCAAATTAAAATCGTGATTCGATCTAATCTCTTTAAATTATAAGAATATCGAAATATGATATACCTGTCCCTCGTTGTTTTCGAATATCGATCAATCGTTGATTTTCGACGCTAATGAGCCAATCATCCCCGAGACACGGCGACGAGGGACACACGCCTAAGAGTCCCCGAGACGGATCGTTAATTAGCGCCCCCTCTCTCCCCCCACCCTCCATGTTTGCACCCGTGTTCCTTTCTCCTAGGTTAAGCGTGCTCGAGGAAAGAATTCTTCTTCTTCCTCCGTATATACCTTGGCCCATCGAGGTTACGCCACTGTGCGCGGGGAGCGAGTGTCGCGCGGGGTTGGTTATTTCACGGTCCACTCGGTCGACTCACACCCCTTACAGGCGGCGGCAGCGGTGGCGGAGCCCCTTTCCAAATCCACCCCTAAGAATTAATTCGAGAGAATCGTCCGGCGGCCGTGCGACAGCCGCCTCTTCCGCTCTCTTCCTCCTCTCCCCTCCTTCCCCGTCGGATCATCTCTCCACCCTCCTCCTCCCGCCCCCGTAGAGGCCACTTTCTTCTTCTTCTTCTTCTTCTTCTTCGCTCTCCTTTCGCATTACCGTTCGCGTCGATCTAACTTACTCCCCCGGAGCTGCCATCCCGGCTTGATAACACCGTCGTTTCGAAGGGTCGAGATAAAAAGGAAAGGGCCTGAAACGTGAGGAGGGGGAAGGGGGAGGAACACGAGGAGGTCTTTTTCATTGTCTACGGTCGAATGGATTGGTGAGACTGATAAGGCTAATTTTCGCTACCCTCCTGATTTTTCACTGATTCCTGTCTTTTGTCCTGGACGAATCAATTTCTGTAATCTTTTTTTTTTTTTTTTTTTTGTTTGTTTGGAATCGAAAAATGCGTGTAAGGAGGATTTTTGTGTTTCTCTCCTTCGATCCATTTTTCTGTAAAATTTTTCCGTTGAAAGAATTGATTTCCAAAGAAATGTATGGAAGTAAACTGATGGAAAGTAAACTAATGCAATAAGAAATTTTTGACGAATATTATTAGATTTGGTATTATTATCCGTTGTACTGATTAATTTGAAACAAACTTGAACTTCCTTTAATTGCAATTATTATTTCACGTGTCATTTCAACTTTCTGCAAATTGAGTTCAAAGTAAATTTTATAAATGAAACTTTTGTCATTACCAATACTATCTTCTTTCCTTATTATCCAATACTATCTTCTTTCTTTACATTTTTCTCTGTGGAGAACGATTCACCCAGAAAAAGTATGGTTTAAAATTTTTTCTTCGATTCCTTTTCCCAATTGGAAAAATAATAATCTACGATTTTCTTATACGATTTTATAGATCTTTTTGAGATTCGAGTTACCAAGTTTCGAGGGTAGAGAGGATCGATTTGTATATCCAATGATTCCTCTGCGAACGACGTGTAGTGTTTCATCTGGACTGATTTGCACGCATATGTTCGCACGGACACGAACGACGGGTAAAAATATTTCACGCTGTCGGATGTCGACGAAAAATTCCATTGGGACTGGGTTACAACGACCAGTCGAAATATCTTTCTCATTAATGACGATGAGTAATAGCGTTGTATCGCCAACTGAACGTTTCGAGCGATATGTTACCCGCTCATCGACCGCCATTTTTCAAAAGCCGCGCTCCGCAGATCGATCTTTATGAAAAAAATTCTCTCTTCTCATTCTAATTCGTATACTTGCTCGTTTTCCACGTTATAACGTTCCTTCTGGCAAGTTTCAACGAGTTCGTTTCAAGATTCTCGCGTGGACGCATTTGCCAAAAATAAAAAAGGAGAAAGGAAACAAGAAGAAAGGGGTAGAGGCAAGCGAATTATCGTGTCCAAGAGTTGCAAAAAGCGCCGATCTCTGCTCGTCAAACGTCCATCATTGTCCCAGAGGAGGCCTTTGTCAGCGCCTCGGAGGCCGGATCAGGAGGCCTGCGCCTCGCCTCGCGCTTTCTAATTTCGGCATCAAAGCAAGGCGCGAGCGATTTTCCGTCAATTGAACGTGGCTGCCTTTGGGACCGGTTGACAACAAGCCGCCACTGTATATCACGAACCGTGCGTGGAAGGCTGGACGAGTTTGGACGAACGGCCGTTCAAAGCGCGTAATATTCCTCCGCCATCCGGCCGTCTAATGGCTCGACTCGTTTAGCGCTCTCCGCTCTTTCTGTGCTCTCTCTTTCCCTCCCTCTCTCTCTCTCTCTCCGCTTCTGCGAAAATTTCGACTTCGCCGTACGCACAGGCAACGCACGGGAAACCGATTGTGGCTGGACGAACGAGGAGGGTTGATTAAGAAAAAAATGAGCGGGAATCCGAGTATAAGAGATAATTAGAATTGCAGGCCTCTTTCCAAGCGTTTACATTACAGGTACAGTGTTTATTCACTCGTTATAATAAGCTCGATACGAAATTCTATTCACACATTTAAAGAGAAATATTTAATTCGAATCGAATAAACACTTTCATGCTGGATGGATTGGATATGCTCGATTGATTGAATTTTATTATCATCAGAAAATTTTTCCAATTAATTTTACCACACGTTATTGAACATAGTATCGTATTCATAGTAAAAACGATATCGAGCGTATAACGAAAATAAATGAGCACTGCGTTTAATTTTTCCTGAAAATGGATTATTCAAGGGAGGGTGGAGAGAGGGTTCGAGATGAATGACGAACATCGAGCATATAAGGAACATAAAATCGTTGCGGCCACGCGACGATTCGAATGGATTCGAAGCGGGAATACGCATAATACGGAAAGTATGCTCGATTTGCAGCGGCACCTGCACATCGGGTGCACAGGGCTGATCGATCTTCGTTGAGGCCGGCGCGTATGCTGTATGGGATAATCTGCGTGTATTTACTGGCAAAGGCTTACGAGTGTAACGTACGGTATTTTATTTTACACAGGAACGTTCCACTGCGTTCCGACGTGGTTCAGTTTTTTGCAGTTTTTGCAGCACAAAAAATTTGCTCGCTAAATCCTTCTCTCTCTCTCTCTCTCTCTCTCTCTCTCTCTCTCTCTCTCGCGCTCATCCACCCGCGACAGACACACCCGCTCCGCTAACCCTTTCTCTCACGCACACCTTACCACCTCTTCGCCTTCCTTCTTCCGTTTTTACACCTATTATATGATCATCTCTCTCCACTTTCGCCTCCATCGACGGACGCGTTAAATATGTTACATATGATACGTACGAAGTAATCTCACCCTATTCGTTTTCTCACCGTCAAATTTCACGAAAATTTTCGATAAATGTGCAACGATCTTACTTCCAGTCGCAAATTTCCACCTTCAAAATTCCACTTTCGAACAAAAGTTCCATCGAAATCATCGAATGTAATTTATAATATCTCTCTAAAGAGGTGGATAGAAAGAAGAGTAATTCCAATGGTCCATGGCGGTGACCGATTACTCCACTTCGATTTTTTACTCCACCTCGATTATCCCTTTATCTCCCCCCCCCCTTCCCCCTTATGCGCATATAATATTGCACCGAAATAAAAATCCTATGACGCCGTCGCGTATTATTCGTTTAATTTTTCAATCGCGTATACATCCAGCATTTTACAGCCGGCCGGCTGTAATCGACCGCCTGTTGTTATTCCAAAGGCCGCGTATCACCGCGTATTTATCTTTCCGCTTGGGATGATGTCCCCTTCTCCTCGCGTGTTTGGAGAATTTTAAACGAGCCGACAATATCCTCCAAGAGGATACGCTCGTTTTCCGCGCCTCGCCCCCGCGTAAACCGATTACCCTATCGACTGGGGAAAGGGGGAGGGGGGGAGGGGGCAGTCCATTCCCTATATCGCGCGACGATCATCAAACAAAGTGGACGAAACGGATAGGTCGACGTTTGGAGATATATTCGAGATATTCCAAGTGGCTTGAACTTCCCTCGCGAGGAAAGATAATCCTCTCTTCGAGATGGAATTGGTGTAGCGTGGCGAAGGTGAAGAACGGAATGGTTGGCGCTATTTACAATTTGCAATTACGGCGTTTCGCCGTGGATCCCGACGATATTCGACACTGAGGACAAGTGTAAGTGTGTACGTGTGTGTTTGTGTTTGTTCGTGTATCTACAAATAACGAAGCTATATATACGATCGGAATCCACGGAAAAATACCTTGATACGCTTAACGATCCCTATTATACATCATCTTACATGCTTGGTTTTTTTTTATTTCTTTACGTGCTGCTCTCTTTAGTCAAAGCGTACTAAAGTAGGATTTTTCTCTTTATGCACGAATCGACGTTAAAAATCCGATCATTGTTATGGAACAACTTTCTCTTTATATATCTTTCCGAATAAATAATTAAAATTACACCTCGTATTCATTCATATTTCCCTTACCACTTTGGTATGTACGACGTACAACTCAATCAACGTCGTTCGAAAGATAAAAGCCCGCTTTACACTTCGACCAAACATGGCAGGAAAATTAAAAATCACCCTTACCACCAATTCCTTCCATCCCCCTTACCTCATCGTCGTCCCGTGTGTATAACCACTCACTCGCTCGCAAAGTGCACACTGTACAACAATATATATATATATTCTCACCCAATATATATATTCGCGCCACACCACCACCCACACCCGCGATCAGTTCACTTCTCCTCGAGGCGAGCGAGGGCGACTACAGCGAAGGCGAGGACGAGGACGCGGTCCGCGCTTTGGATTGTCGAGTTCGCTACGCGTGCGGATGCGTGTGCGGGTGCGGATGCGTGGAGAGGGCAAGGCCCGTGGAGGATGGCGTGGAGGTGGGGGGTGGGCCGGAGGCGGTCGGCGGGGTGGCGGGCAGGTGATGGCCGAAGAACGTCGGCCCCGTGGGGGGGTAGGGTGGCGCGGCCGGGTGATAATAGCCGGGGGGCGGCGGGGGCACGGGGGGCGGGTGGTGGACGTGGGTGTGGGGGTGCGGGTGCGTGTGGGAGTGGGGGAGGGGGTGCTGGTGAGGATGAGCGGCGAAGAGGAAGGCCGGCGCGTAAGGCGGTGGATGGGGCGGCGTGGTGGGCACGGTCGGGCTGTTCACGTCGAGCCCCGGGTTCTGCTTCTTCCACTTGGTGCGCCTGTTCTGGAACCAGATCTTCACCTGGGTCTCGGTCAACGAGAGCGAGAGGGCCAGGTTCAGCCGCTCGCACACCGACAGGTATCTCGTCGTCTTGAACTTGTTCTCGAGGGCGACCAGTTGCTCGTAAGTGAACGCCGTCCTGGCCCTCCTCGGCTTCCCGCCTGTCCCACCGCTCCCCCCGGTTCCGTTTTGGCTGCCCTGGTTCTGACCCTGGCAACCCTGAGCTTGGACGCTGCTCGACGAGGAGGAGGAGGAGGAGGATTGCCTCTTCTTGCAGCTGGCCGAGGACACGTTGCTCGCCGCCGTCGCGCTCCCGTCCCGGCCCGCGCTCGAGGACTCTTGGTCGGCCACCCTCATCTCCACGTCCTCGTCCTCCTCCTCCTCGTCCGCCTCCTCGTCCATTTCCTCCATCCCCGCCTCGGGCGTGCCCTCCTCGTCCTCTTGGCCGCTCCCGCAGGCGAACTCGCCCCGCGAGTCACCATCTGAAAACAGCAATCGCGCGAGTCGATTAGACGCGGGGGAAAGAAGAAGAAGAAGAAGAAGAAGAAGAAGAAGAAAAAGAAGAAGAGGAAGGAGAGGAAGTTGAGGGAGAAGAAGACGGTGGTGGGGGGCAAGGAAAGCGATACGGTGTTGCGTGACGAAAATTGATTACACCGGTGGGGGGAGGATTGGATGGGATGGGGTGAGATTGCCAGTCGGGTGTCGGTTTACCCTGTGACAAAGCGGTAACGCGACCCCGGCCGTTGTTTCACCGACCCGATCCTCCGCGTCTCCGCGCGGAAGACCAGAGCGGCGGGGCGCGAACTCGATACCGCATTACACGAGGGAAAATGAAAAAGAGATGATCTCCATTTATCGGGGTGGAAAATAGGCGAGGAACGGGACTCCAATTCGCGCCGATCGACCCTCTTATCCTATCAGGCGGCGGTACAGTCATCGCGCGGGTCTCGAAAAAACGCGCTTGTCGACGCTTGTTCCACGGCAATCAGTTTTAACGAAGGACGTGTCGTCGATGCGGTTTCGCTCGAAAGTTTCGTTTCGCCAGTATCGAGTCGCGTTTAATTTTATTCCTCTCTGTTTCGGTCTGATAAAAGAGGATACATTTCTCGAACGTTTATACGCATATATCCTCTCGAACCGACAATACTTAACAACATAGTCAGATTCGTTGGATTCCAAGATAATTAGATTCGTCTACTGTCTTAAAAAGAGGGAGAGAAAAGTCAGAACAAAGATGGATAAACAATGTTGCAACTGTGTATAGCTGTGACGAGATCTCTAAAAAGACGTATTCCTGGGATTCCGGGGCCCGACGAAACGGTTGATACGCGCGAATCGGATGGAAAAGGAGAGAGAGTAATAAGCGGGCAGCCGGTCGGCCGGAATCAGAGGGAAAGAGAAAGAGAGCGGCCAATCGTTCGCTCAATGAGAGAGGAGATTGGAGATTCAATCAGCACGCAGATGTCCCGGGGACAGATATTCCCTGGCTCCGGTCCGTGGAGGCTGGGGGCGCCCCTGTGGGAGGGGGTGGGGATAGGTTTCCGGATAAAACCAGAGAGACGGGAAGAGAGAGATTGAAAGAGACGGATGGGCGATTGAAGAGAGAGGAGAAGACAGCTGGGAGCAAAGGAGGAAGAGGGGGGCGGGCGGATGGAGAAATGGAGAGCTGGAGAGAGAGAAAGAGAGAGAGAGAGAGAGAGACGGTGGAACTTCATCCGAATTGGCGTGGCTCGTGGCCCATAGCCCGTAGCCCAGCACCGTGCCTGGGGGTTGGAAGTCCGTAGGGGGCGACGGATCGAGAAGGTTTACGTCGTAATGGGATTTGTATCTCGTTAACGCGCGATCGTTCTTGCAGGCCGTCGTACAGGCCGCCGCCGACCGCCTCTCTCTCCCCCCCTCTTCCATAGCTTCCTCTTTCTTTGCCTATTTTCCGCCACCGGCCCTCGTATCTTTCAACTCCACACACCGTGGCCCGCAGGCTACATCCTTCCCTCCCTTCACCCCCTCCTTTTTTTGCCATTGTACAGGCGTTGCGCCGATTGATCGGCCTCTAATTGAATCGCGTAATTTATATTGTTCCTCCGATTCCCCATTTTTCAACCGGTCGTTGCCGCGTTTTTTCGAATATCTTCGTGCTCGTGCCCTCGAAATCCTTTAATCGTTTCTAATTAAACCATATCGTTCTTCTTCTTATTATTCTTCCATCATTATTTTATTCCCTTTCGTTTTCGATCGTCCCTCGATCGCATTCGAATTCTTTCGATAAGAATCTCGACGAGAATCGGATCACTGTGTTGATAATTTTCTATCTAATCCAATTTCGATTATATTTCTGTTTCTCAGATTCATTTTCATTAGCTGCCAATTTAATCACTTCGAGATTATTCGAGATAAATATATTTTTAACAGTTGGAAAGGATATCCTAGGGAAGGCGAATCCATCTCGAGGCGTGGATTTGGACAATTAAGTTCGGTAATGCAATCCCTTATCGATATTTTACAGCGTCGATGGCATTTATCTCGTTTAAATCTTCTTCATTAAGCACGATCGCTGGTCTCTCGCGCGGGAGAATCGATATACGAGGGGGGAGGGTTAAGGTCCCCAGGGGGTGGCGTAAGAGGGCACGAGGGGGTTGGGAGCGCAGTCAGGAACACTTATTTCGGTTTTCCTCATTAAGCACAATGACAGCGTTTGAAAACGAGTACCGCGGCTTGGGAATAGGCAGGCCACCCTTCACCCTTCACCCCCCTCCCTCGGATGATGACGTTGACGAAGCGTTGCGAGACGGTTGGATCGAAGCCTAGAAACTAGTTAATGGGCGGCGGGAATGTTAGGAATATTAGTGTGAAATTTCGTGCGGCAGAGCAATAATGGAGGAAGATAAACGAGGCGAGGTTGATCACGATCGATCGAGATTTAACAGCGGTCTGTTTGTTTTACGAGCGGGCGGCCAATTATAGATTGGCAAGTGTCGAATAATCAGGTTCTTGGATACGTTCCGCTCTTCATAAAGGATAAATCCATAGGTTTGGAACACATATGGTCACGTGTCTAAAATCTGTGGGGAGGAAATATCGGTGGGTGATTGATCCAATAAACTAGGGTTGAAATTGCTTTTACCATCGGTCGATCTAAACACAGTTTAATTATCTGGCTTCGTTGCACGAATACAAACGATCAAATCCTTCGATTTCGAAACTTTTTCTTTTTAATTCATAATATATTCCTGCATCCTTGGATTGTTACTCCTCGTGAAAAAAAGAAATATCTGTATTTATCGAGTAAAAGATTTTCTTTTACAAATTTTACTTTTCAATTCAACCACTTTTTCCTTAAAAAAGAACTATCCTTTGCACGCGTTAATACGCCTCTTTACCTTACTTAATTTTCCACAAATTTCATTATCTCCGCATATACGAGAAAATATACTGATACAATTATCGTACTGTTTCCAAAACTTGGAACAATGAGGGCAGAACAAAGATCGATCCAAGGAATATATATATATATAGAATCGTTCCCTTAACGAGCAACCCCCCACCCCCTTCGATAAGAAAAACACGGAGCTGTTCAACCAACGCGCATGCTATCCAACGTCCAATCGGTAATTACAAATTTTTCCAGAAAAATCTAGCGGAAAATCCGTGAGAGTGAGATTTCGAGTCGTGAGAGGAGGAGGGGGGCGAACGTTCTCCCCGGTCGGAGAATCGGTGGCGTGTGCAAAAGGGGGAGAGACGACGGTGGGGGGCGACGACGAGGGAGAAGTCATTATGATGCAGAAGAGCCAATTTTCTGGCCGGCTTGGCGCGATGCGACGCGATACGCCGCGATGCTGCGCGATTATCATAACAACCGGCGTTATTATTCCGTCGCCGGATTTGCAGCGGGGGTGGGGAGAGCCGGAGGTTCGACGGCTGCCGGTCGAAACGGATTTCAACCGATCGCGGCCGGCTGCCTCTGATGCACTTTTAATGGATATTCCTGACCACCCCGCAAGATGGATGGGCCGAGAATCGTTGTAATCCCGATTTCATCGCCTCCTCGATCGATCCTCCGAGAAACCGTTTCTCTCCTCTCCGCCATCGCACACTATATATATATACTTTATTTCGTTTATTTATTTACATCCAAACTTTTACTTTTCGTCACGTTTCCTTTCTTCATCCGTAATTTTGCAAAGCACTCGTATTGTCATATATTATCGATCGTTTATTTGACGTCTCTTCTTACGTCTTATCGAGAAGTTTGGTCCCATCGATATCGATATTTCTTCTCGTTTATTGTAATAAGTTAACTTACATTCGTTGCCCATCAATTCGGAAATTTTCTTCCTTCATTCCTCCCTCCCTTTCGCCCAATTCGCCCATTCTATTATTTATAGACGGATTCATTCTTTTCTCTCTCGCGGAAGATGGAAGATGTATCCATCCATCGGTTGACAGCGTCGGTTGATTTCGTTTGCAGCCAGCGTCCCGTACCGGGATAAAGGGACGATAATGATGGGGTTCAAGGACTGGTTAACGCAGATTAGCGGAGCAATTTGTCACGCTCCGACAGGCCGCCCTCGCGAGGCTCCCCTCCCTCCCCGCAGGTCTGCACGTCCCCCCAACCTTGGTCCCTTTTCCTACGCCCGTTTCACCCCCTTCGTTGGACGAATTCCTCCGCCCACGCTCTGTTATCGGAGCCGGGGATCCTTCCTTCTTATCTGTCCGCCAGACTCCATTAAATTCGAAAGTCAACTGTGAAATTGGGATCCTCGCGCGCGCGTGCTCGTCGACTCCGGATTCGATCATCGACATTATCGGGACCGGATAAGCTTTCCACGCCAGATGACTCGTTTCGATTACTAGACTACTCGCGAAGAGCGAAGAATTTAATAAAATTCCGGCTTAATCTTCGTTCGAAATAATCCATCGTACTTGCTATTACCATATGGATCAACTTTTATATATGTATATATATATATATATATATATATATATTTTTTTTTTCCAGTGGAATCAGTTTCACCTTTATATAATAAAATATATAAAATTATATAAAATATTATATATAATATAATTATATATAAAATAAATAAAATTGAAATTGGAATTATATCGAGAATAAGGGGATGATATCCGTTTCTTTCGTCAAATCATCTTCGTCGAATGAATCGCGTTGAGCGTTAGTTTTCGTCGGATGGTGATTAAAACGTAAACGGGTGAGACGCGTTTAAGCGGATCACGACGGAACGAATGGCATTAGAAGAGGGCATTAACGGCGACATTCGACCGTTCCGCTTCAACCCTTGTTCCCGGTAAAGCGTCTACATCATCACTTTTGTCGGAATCCCCGCAACACGCAAATAACTCTGAAACGGGCGAAATTGCACGAAGCGCGGGGAACAAGCCGTCCTCCCATCCGTCTAAACTTAGAAACGAGGAAGAAGCGTCGAATAAGGGGGCGGTGGTGGAGAGGAGATGCGCTCGGGGACGAAAAAAAATCCACGTTCAAGATCGCGGGATCTCGGGCGGGCGAGGAGAGACGAGGACCATATGTTTCCTCCTCGATGGAGAAAAAGAGCGGCGCACGATGTTTTGGTGGACGATTACGAGGATGAGCAAGAAGGAAGCAATAAACATGCGAGCTGATGTCTCTGATGGGGAACGAAAGCCGGTCGAGATTAGGAGGAGGCTTTGCGAGTCGCTCGAATGCGAATATGATCCTCGCTCCGGATTAATCGGCCACGTTTCCAACCAAATTTATAGCCGAGAAGAACGGGTAGCGAAGTGTTTCTAACGGAGCGACGGTAGAATCTGCTCTGTGAATGAAAATGTAAATATTCGGATAGCAAGATTTGTCGCGACGAATCGTGTTTACAAGCAAGGATTATTATTAATACTCGATAACACCGTACATTGTAACGAACGAACGATAACATTGGAAATATTACGAATAAAATTCATCAAACATGTATCGCGAACGACTCGTTAAAAATAACTCCTTATCGATATCGAGATATCATTGTATAAATTTCATATCAACATTAAATATTCTATCGATATAAACGATCGTATTCCGGTCTTAAATTTCTCCTAATTTATAGCTCACCGCTAAAATAATCCCCTCCTCAAAAAATTCGTCAGTATATTGTCCGTATAAACGGCACGACTCGTTAGAAAAAAAAAAAAAACTATCGTTTCCAACACAGTGTTTCAAATATTAATCAATCAATCCAAGATCAATCACCAGAGGTAGAGAGAATCGAAATCGAAGAGCAAACTGTAACTGAGTAATCACCTTCGTGCACGCTGTCGGCCCGCCGATGTCGCCGATGCTGAACGCGGGTGTGCACCACCCTTCCGCCGGTGAACTTGTTCGGATCCAATATATTCTCCACCGAGAACGCGAGACACCGTTTGTTCGCTTGCACGGTGCTCGCGGTCGTGGTGATGCCACCGCCGGTCGAGGTGCCGGTCGTTCGTGCCGCGTTCCCGGAAGTGCAGACGGTCATCACGGTTGACGCGGCGGCGGCGGCGGCGGCGGCGGCAGCGGCAGCGGCGGCGGCGTGCGCGGATATGTACACAGGTGTGCCGTGGGCAGTAGCGGTCTGTTCACCGCTTTGAACACACGAGAAAGGGTGGACGCCTCGGGCGGCGAACGGGTTAAGGAACTGGTCGGATCCACCGCCGCCCCTCGACGAGGGGGCGGTCAAGTCTACCGGGCTGCTCGGGTTGCTCTCGTCCACCTCGTCCCGACAAACGTCCACCTCGACCTCCTCGTCCTCCTGATAACTTCCGTTCCGATCCCCCGGATGCACTTCCTCCTCCTCCTCCTCCTGCTCCTCCTCGTCCTCTTCGTCCTCGACCACGTTCCTCCTCCTCCTCCTCCTCCTCCTCCTCGCGCCGCTCTCCTCGCGATCGCCGTCCTCCTCCTCCTCCTCGTCCTCCTGCTCCTCCTCCTCCTCCTCGGCCTCGTCCTCTTCCATCCTCTTCGACCGCGCCGATTCCATCTCGTGGAAAGTCGCCTCGTTGCCGTCGACCGGGCGGAGGATCGGCGAGGTCGGCGAGGGCGAGTGCTGCTGCTGGCGCGCGTTCTCGTAGCGGACAAAAGGCTCGGCTGTGCGTACGTGGAGCAACACGTGCCTCCTTTCTTGAGGCGGCAGCGACAACCCCGCACGCATATCCGCTTCCTCCCGCGGCAGAACGACCGGCCCTAGAGGCGACACGGTCCTCCCTTCCTGCATCCTCCACATAACCCTTCGAGGTTATCTCTCCTTTACCTCCTCCTCGCCTCTCGATCCTCCATTCTCTTCTTCCACTGCTCTCCTCGCGACGAAACCGCTACTACTGCTGCTGCTATTGCTATACTGTTACTGCTACCGTTGATACTCGCGAGAGAGCGAGAAACTCACACTCTTTATATAATATAATCGACGGATCCTCAAACGGTATTGGGAAACGGGTGCACCCCGACTCGGCGAGACATCACTCACACCCCCCGATCACACTCCAATTTCATCACTGATCCCTCTCCAACCGCACTATTCCTCTCCTCCTCTCCTCTATCCTCCCGGAAGAAGAGCGAGGAAGAGAACACCAAAAAAACGTTCCTCGTTCGAGACGGGACGGATGTACGAGCGAACCGAATCTCGCTTCCTCTCCGAGAACAGCGAACCGAGCGCGGAACAAATCACCGGAAACCGCGCGACGAGGGCGTCGCGTCTAACGTAGAATCCGTGTGGAATCGTGGTCGGCGATCAGAGCGTGATCGGGCGCGCGATTAGCAGTGTCTTTGGTGAGTGAGAAGCGGCGCGCGTCCCGTGAAAGCTGGCCTCGGGACCTCCACGTAGAGCCATGGTGGCTTGAATAGGTGGTATATCGGCGTATTATTAGTAGCGGAGGAGCCGTCGTAGGAGACGTGGTCGGGCGTACCGGCGTACCCCGTCTGGTGGGGTGGTTGTTCCGCCTCGAGTGGGCGTGTCCAACCCCTGCCGGCTTACCAGAGTGTGCCGTGACCGGCGAGGGGGCGTGCACAGTGTACAGGGGGTTGCGCGCACACACGTGCTCTACCCCGAGCCGTCCGTGGTGGGTCGCGATCCATGTCCACCGCGGGCGGCTCTCTCTCGTCCGTGTTGGTCGGACGCCCGCGCCAACGATCACTTACACGATCACGGGGACGCGCGCGATCCACCCAGACACCCAGCCGCGGATACTGAATGGACGGGCACGAACACGAAATCGGGAAACAGAGGCCGCGTGCAGACGTTTCGCGGCCCCACGAGCGAGCTTTCGCCAGATACTCGGGTATGTACACACAGGGAGAGAGTCCTACCTTTCCTCCCTCCCTGCGCCAGCTTTCTATCCGCCCTCCCACTCTCCCCCTCTCACCCCACTCCCTCGGATCCGGACCGGCTAAAGTGGTTTGTCTTTGATTTAACCACCACCGCCGCCGCCACCGCCGCCGCCACCGTCGATGGAGGAACGCTTTTCCCTCCACGCACGTTCCCATCGTTCAACGTTTCCCGGAGGATGTGTGGAGTTGCACGCTCTACCTGCTAGATATGTATATATATTCTTGATATACGTAGCTGGATTTATCGATGATCTTGGCACGCTAGGCGAAGCGCGTGGTGTGCGGCTTCGAAATGCCGAGGAGGATAATACAATTAAGCCGAAGATCTTTCGACGTGTCTTCTTTGGCTTTTTGAAGGCGGAAGAGGAATACGGTCGGCCGATGGATCAAGGAACAGTGGCGGCGATGCCACTGTTCACGGTAGTGGCGTGGCTGTATTGCCGCTACCGCCGCCGCTCTTAACTCGGCGCACGGATATTGTTTACCCGACCATTTAGGTAATTGCTGGCCTACCGCCCTGCCAGCCAATCGAACGTAACCGGCGGATGAGCCTGCAATACCCTCCCTCCCTTTCTCTTCCGATCAACCCTCTCTCGTCCCGCGCGTACACGCATCTCTTTCCAGCCCGTTCTATCTCGCGATTTTTCCTCCCTTTTCAACTTTTTGTTATTGTTGCCGGTAGATGTGCGCGTCTATAGAGATCCGGCTTTTGTTTGTCGTTCGATCCGCGCTCATGTTGCAGGAAGCATCTCCCTACCCTCGTCCCCGATCATCATCGAATTAGCTCGGGCCCAATCGTTCCACGAGATTGACGCTCTCTGATCGGTACTTTCCGCGAAATTGGAGAGAGCTTTTTTTTCATCGATCCTGATCGGATCGTTCGATGACCAAAGGGGGAGGGAAGTGGAGTTTTGGGAATGTAATTCATAACCTGGAGTGGAAAACGGTTCGAGGAGAATGGGAAGATTACGCAAACCTTTTCCAAAGAGAGGCTTGAGAAATAAGCCTCGAAATTTTAAAACTACGTGCGATTTGTGATATCGATGTTTCTTTCCTCGAAATTATATCGATCGTTTAATTTTCCTATCCCAAAAGAGGAAAGAAACCTCACAACACATCTCAAAAACCCCTTGAAAAATATTTTCCTAATTAACCGCAAACAGCGGAGCTAACGGTTTAACACGGCCGGTCATAATCGGTCCGCACCGTAAAAGGGTTAAACGATCGAAACGTATTTCCCAAGTAGTTCGTTGGAAATGCTCGCCCGGCTTTGCCTTCTCTTCATCCGCCCGCTAATAAGCTGTGATAATAGGGCGGCTCACCCCCTAGCCCCTCCCTCGCTCGAATCGATAAGCATAATGAACCAGATCAAATATTTATAATCCTTACGAGGCCGCTTTATCGAGTTTTACTTGGACAGTACAGATGTTCCCGAATCGCGTAATCGCATCCGGTTTGCCAGGGGCGAGGGCGAGGGAGGAGGCGAATATCGCGCGGCGGTAACTGGCTGAACCTGCCCGATGGTAGGTTTTCCACCGGATGAGGAGAGGGGGTAGCTGGTAGTTGGCCAGCTACTAATTTTCGCCCGCTCGCCGCCCGGCTAATGAGCATTATCGTAAATTTATTTCGGGGTATATACCACCGGCACCCGGCCACCGCATAAGAACTAACAAATTAATTTAATTCGTAAATGACACGTACGGCTTGCACGGTGCATTTACTGCATTGAATGCCGGCGCGCCGGGCGCGGCTCAATTTGCAGGCCGGCCACCGAAGCTTAATTAAAAATTTACACCGACAATGCGCCACGTTCCGCACGTGCCCGGATTGTTGTTGTTGTTGTTGTTGTTGTTGTTGTTGTTGTCGTCGTCGCTATTGCTGTTATCTCGTCTCGTCTGACGAAAGAATTTGATTGCGCGACGAGGGTTCTGAAACTTAACTGGGCAAAAGGGGGGGGGGGATAGTGGGGAAGGGAGAAAGATGGAAGATGCGCGTTAATAAGCGGAAACTCTTTTCGAAACTCATCGACTCGGGTGGAATAGAAAAGAAAGGAAAACAGGTTGTTAACCTGTGGAAGATTGGGGTTGGTACCCTTGGCGAGGTCGCAGGTGAGCGCAGCGGCGGATTATCCTATACCTGGCAAAGTGATGTGGGTTTAGGCGAGCGTCCCTAATAGTTCCGAAACGGTGCAAGAGGAGCGAGCTGGATAGGATAGAAGGGGAAAGGAGGAGCGAGCGAGGAGCGAGAGGGCGGTATAGGAGTTGCGCCGTTGCTAGAGAAGGATAGATCGATCGACGCGGCGGGCGGGCGCGAGGGACAAGGACGGCGCGATGGGATAGGAGATCGGGCGGAGAAAGACGTAAATGTGGAATAAGGGGCGACGGGCGAAACAGAGAAAGGACGAGGTGGAAGGAGAAGCGCGGGGGGTAGTTTGGAACGAAGATCGAACAGACCAGCCGTGACCAATTTGCGCCCGTTCCTGCTCTCGATTCCGATCCCGATCTCGCTCTCTCGTCCACGCGACACACACACTATCCAATCCTATACGCGTATGTGTAAGTATAAGTATATACATATATATATATATATATATATACACATGGAACGAGAGGAATCTTCTCTCTCGCGACGAGGGTATAGTAGCCCGTACTACTACTATTAGTAGTAGCAACGATGCCAAAAGATAGCCGGTATAGGGAGGAAAGTCGGCGCTGTGTTGTCGCTGTGTTGTGCACACAGCGCCGGCCACCCCAAAAGTTTCACGCCTATCTGGACCGACGCGGCACCCACTTCTATCCGCGCCACGATAATTGGCCAATTAAAACCGGCCGAGAGCGTTCGAGTTACCTGGCATCCGATAATTATACGGTATCCTCGCGGTGGTTCGACCACCACGTATCCACGCGACCAAGGGAGGGCGCCGGGAAGGGAGGTGGCCCCGCTCCACCTGGCCTGAAGGGAGGAACGGGGATGGATCTGACGTGGAGGAGGAGGAGGAGGAGGAGGTGGAGGAGGAAGGAAGAGAGGAAGGTTGGAATCGACTATTCCGATTACGTGGCTTCGGGATTCTCTCTCTCTCTCTCTCTCTCTTTCTCTCTCCCTCTCTCTCCGTCTCTCCTCGCGGCTTGTCCCGCCACACCCCCTCTCGTGCTTTCCCTCTCGACGTCCTGTCCTCTTCTACGTAAATCAATGCGGCCAGCACGCCCTCTCCTTAACCCCGTGACGCATGACTGGAATATTCCTCGGTTCTCCGCGTTCATCCGCGGTCTGTTTACCGGGACTCGTTTCAACCCCCGAGTCGATATCGATGCATAACGGCGGTTCGATATCTTGGTCCTGTGTGTTTATGTGTGTTTGTGTGTGTGTGCACGCGCGCGCACACACACGCCAGGTGACTCGATAAGAAGGGTGGACGGGCTGGTTGCTTGGGCTGGTGGAGAAACTGGTGGCCGGCCGGCCGGCTTGATCGACAGCTCGTTAGCCGGCATGTTAATTGATTCGATCCTTCGGAGCGGGAAGGAGAGAAGGAGGGGAGGAGAGGGAAGGGGGGAGATGGAGAATTCGATGATTTTCAAGTAAGGGTGGATGTTTCGGCGGACGAGGATCGATGAAAAATTGTAATCGTTTTGTTTGGGTTGCAAGTTCATCTTGGCGGAACGATGAAATATAATAACCATGTTTCAATTATTTTATTGCAATAGCAATTTCACGTGCAATCGCTTTTTCGAAATTATCTCTTACTACGCGAGTGAGAGTAAGAGTGTCCGTTTAGCCATCTGGATTATTTATTATTATTCATATTCGGATATATCGATTCGCACGCACCCTTGCAATACATCCCCTTACACCATTGTCAATTAAAGTAAGATTTTCGATTTTATGTAAATTGGATTTTACGTA